AAGACCCGATAAAAATTTAGCTAATTTTGTGTGTGACAAAACAATACAATGGAAGAGTATTACTCCCCGATCACCGAATTTTGGAGGTTTGTAGGAAGCAGCTATAAAATCTTTTAAACACCATTTTAAAAGAGCAGTAAGAGAAGCAATTTTAACGTTTGAAATATAACTCAGATAGAAGGAATTCTGAACTCACGTCCGCTCTGTCCATCGTCTGCCAATGCAGACGATTTCGAGGTTTTAAAACCTGCCCATTTTTTAAATAATAGACCATTAAATTCCATAATTGCAGCAGATTTTACAAATATAAAGGAAGAGGCTGGGATAGCCTAGTTGGTAGGGCACTGGGCCCGTGTCCAAGAGCTTGTGGGTTCGATTCCCACCGGCCAAAGACTCCCCGTGTAGTAAATGGTGACTGATGCACGTTAAATCTGTCAAGTCGCAAAGTCCTCCATGTTCCCATAACAAATTAATACATCTAGGGGTACTTATCCAATAGTTTCCTTGTCATCTAGATTGGGTTCAAAATTATAAGGCTACGGAGTTGAACATTAGTAGTCGTAAACCCAAGATTGGGTCGGCTGTTCAACGACGGATAAAATAAAATAAAATATAAAGGAAGAGCCGTGGTGGCTCAGGGAATAGAGCGTTTCCCTTTCAATAAGGTGAACCGGGTTCGAATCCCAGCGATGACTGATCGATACGAATTCCGCATCCGGCTTGCACCGATCGCAGTGCTGTCGTGAAATATCCTCAGTGGTAGACGGTTCATAGGTTGGAGTCCCCTTGCTGTCAGGCTATCCGTGGGAGGTTCTCGTATTCTTCCTTTCCATATAACGCAAATGTCCTCTACCAAGCTCCATCATGCGTTAGAGTCCCCTTGCCGTCAAGTTAACCCTGTTAACCGCGGGATGTTCACGTGTTCTTCCTCTCCATGTAACAAACACAAAGGCTGGTTAGTACCATCAAAAAGGCCTCCACGATGGCAAAATTTCTCCCAGTACTTTATCCAGGAGTTCCCTTGTCTTCTGGATTGGGTTCTAAGTTACAAGGCTACGTGGGTGAACATTAGTAGTCGTAAACTTAAAATTTGGTCGTCTGTTCAACGACGGATATAAAATAAAATATAAAGGAAAATCAGCTTAAGAAATGGTAGAAATTAACTAAGATAGTACAGCTTGTCTGAAAAAAAATGGTATAAAAGTTATTTAAATGAATTGCAGCTTTATAAGTGGCAATTTGAGAAAGATAAGGTAAAAATTTGTAATTTATTATTGTTAATGGAGGCTATTTTGCCTTCACAAATGGCTTATGGGTAGAATTATTAATGTTTATAAAGGAAATGAGATAACAGAATAAGAGTAGTACAAGTTAAAACCCAATATGGCATTTTAAAACGAGCCATATTTAAAATTTGTATTTTGCCAATCAAGGAATGATTTATATAATTTATGTAATGAGTTGTAATTTATATAATAAACTAAGAATTTAACTGAGTAAGTAAAAAAAAAAAAATAGACATATTTGGTGTTAATCATTTTCTATTAATTGTATGTGTTTTGAATTGATATATAACTGCTGCGAAAATATTATTTAGAGTAACAATTATTGAATTAACATTTCAATGGGTGGCGGTATGCTAAAGCGACATCTATATGAGCCTTGAAAATGTGTTCTTAGAAGTGGGCTCTGAGATCATTCCTGTGTGTGTTGGTGAACACCACGTAAAGAACGCTAATAAAATGAGCGTTTCATAGATTACATCCCACGAGTGTTAATTTATTTGCGTGAAATGTGATAACATCCGAGTTAACTAAAACAATGTTATTGAACGACTGTTGATTCATGACAATAACGGAAGTCCTTTTCAGAATTAGCGTCAAAAATTGATTAAAAAACTATTACTTTTATGAAATCCGACAGAAAGTTTAAAAATACAGACTAGTCTTATTGAGTCAATGTAACGATTTGTAGGGGGAAAAAAAAAGAATATAATTATCAAACTTATTAGTACCATAATGCAGTGTTTTCATTGCAGGAAAAAAAATGGGAGAGAATTTCTCACCCTTTCTCAAAAACAGGGTGAGATTTCAAAAAGTTAAGTGAGATTTCTAAAAATTAAAAAAACACGAATAGACTTGGAAAAAAAATATTTCTATTTTTTCTATTCTGAGTTGAGAAGTCAGAAGATGTTAAAAATTTATTATAATATTTTTAAATAATTATAATAAATTTTTAACATCTTCTGACTTCTAAACCATTGAACATTGAATATTTTTGCTGCATTATCATATGGAAAATGTTCTGTATCTACTTTTTCATTAGCTATTCTCATTAGGTTTGCTCAAATGCTTACCAATCGATCTGTTACGATATTTTGTTTTAATTCGGTTTGGGGGCTAAATAACCTTGCAACAGATGCTGAACTATTCGGAATCACTAATTAAATTTGTAGCATTGTGCACACACTTTCCTATCCTCTACATCTGCCAGCATAGGTTCTTCAATTATTTCTGTTATGGAATAGTGAAGTTCGTTGAAGTTATTTCCATGTTCATACTCTTTGTCAGGTCTTCCAGATTAGTTTTCACAGACTTAAACTTTTACAAATTGCTCTAAATTGTCGATGAGGGAGTTTGGTAATTCATTAACAGCGAAAACTAGAGATAACTTTAAACAACTTATAAAGAACTCACTTTTTTTCTCAACACTTGTCGTAGCTGTTTTCATGTCTTTTTCAAAATGGCGGAAGACTAAATTTTTTCCAAAATTCAAGAAATTCGTGCATTTTAAAATTGATAAATTCAGTGCGCGAACTTCTCGCGTTAATCATTTTTTAATGCGAGAAAATAAAAAAATATGCGAGATTCTCGCGTTCTCGCGCTGTAGTGAAAACACTGCATAATGAAAGATTTAGGTTCAATTATGGAAAAATAAAAAGTGTTAAAATTTCCTAATGAGATTGAAATCATGTATTTGAATTTCTGTAAAGGTTGTTAATGGTTGTACTTTTTTCAGTGTGTTTTATTTTTGTGGTACCTGTTACACTTTTAAACACTTGTAGCTATAAAGATTGAATAGAAATGACAGCAGTGGAATGCCATTTATCTGAAGAAGAAAATTAATTTGTATCCAGTTAATATAAATCATGAAATTTTTTTAAATTTTTTTTAATTAATTCCGTTGAAGATTATATGATTCTAATATTTTAAAACCTGCCGCTATTATTGTAATTATGACTTTCTTATTAATTCATATTTCTTTACTTTTAAGTTTTACTGGTTCCAAGTTTTAACAGGGAGACAGAATCAATATTTAAAATAATTTTGTTGCTTCATAAAAGAAAAATGCAATTTTAATTTTAAATATCAGCTTACTAATTATTTAAATTTGCAGTTTTATAGCTTTGAAAATTCAAACACCTTTGACATCTACCTTCTAAAAATGTGAGTTCCCACAAATAATTTTTTTAAACTATGGAATTTGTGATAAGCGACATTTCAAGATAATTTAATTGAATCTGTTAAAGTTAAAGAAGAACTATGCTGGTGAAACTTATTTTTATAGCTTAACAAAACAAGCAATTACTGCCGAAGGTGTAATACAAAAAATTCAGGTTGATAAATCAGGAGCTCTACTAATGAAAAAATATGAAGATATACACTATTATTTATATAATGTTAATAATAGTGAGGTTAAAAATTAATAAACTAGGCGGAATGTATAACACCCCACGTTTGTGAATTGATTACCTTCGTAAGTATTAAAAAGAAAAGAAAAAACAACGACAACAACAACTTTAGGTTGAACAATAAAAGCCTGAACTGTAAAATGTTGCTTCTTAGGTTGATAAATTAATACCTCTAAAAATACAAAAATATATACTTGAGGTTAAGAAATAATAACCTAAGGTAGAACATGGAACATCTCGCGTTAATAAAAAATAACCTTTTCAAGGGTCAAAAAATATATTTGAGGTTGATCTGCAATAACTTGATGTGCAAAATGGCGCACCTTACGTTGATAAAAAAAAAGAAAAAAACCTTTACAAGCATAAAAATATAGACTTGAGGTTGAATAACTTGAGGTAGACCTCATGTTAGTAAAATATTACCTTTACAACTGTAAAAAAATACACTTGAGCTAGATCCAGAATAACCTGAAGTGTTAAATGAAACACATTAGGTTGTTGAATAAATATTTCCACAGGTGTAAAAAAATATACTTCAGGTTGATAAATAGATACCTATGGACGAAAAGGAAAGACCTTAAAGTAGTAAATATCTACCTCACCACAGATGTAAGATGAAACACCATTGGGTGATATATATATATATACCTCTGCAGGTATTTTTGAGGTATTCATTTGCACCTTTTTCTACCTAACTATAGACTAAAAATATAGTCTTTTTAAGCCGAGAATGTTTTGATAGTAAATGTAAATAACATGCTGAGCATGATTTTTTTTATTACAACGCAACATTTTACGGGTCACATTTAAATAACTTAATTTATACCTTTAAAAAACACCTCATTTATACCTCAAATTTTCCGTAAGGGACATTTTTTTCGATCATAATCAAATTTAATAAAGAAAAATAAATAATAATAAAATATTGTCCAAGGATATATAAGTTTCATAGAATTGAATAAGAATTTTTTGATTTGCTTATTTAAAACATAAAAAGCAAATGTGCATTTTATTATAGTTTGAAAAGCATTAAGTTTGTCATATCATATTGTTTAAAAAAAAATAATAATAATAATAATTTTTTTTAGACATTAAAACTTTGAAAATGTTATCTCTCTAAACTACTCTGTTTTATTTGTGTAGTACACGGCCTTTTCGCCCGAGGGGGAAAAAAAGAGAGAAAGGAAGGGTGAAAAGAAAAGGATACATATCCTTCACCTCTATACCTTCATCTCCACCATTTGACTGCAGGAGATATCAGATATGGTTATTATACATTCGTGGAACACGCTGCCATCTATCGGTCAATGTCAACATTTCACTAATAAAAATATAGTCTTTTCAGGCCGAGAATGTTTTGATAGTAGATGTAAACAACATGCTGAGCATGATTTTTTACTTCTACGCTACATTTTACCGGTCAAACTATTTAATACTTGTGAAAATTAAGTAAAAACCAGGACCTTTCGCTTATTTTATACACTTGAATCCTCGCAGGTATGTTTGTCGTTTTATAAAATTTGATATAACATAGCTGATTCGAAAAGTTTATGTGGTACATAGTTAATGTTAACTCCGTTTGTATGCATGCCTTTAAATAGATTTAAGCTTTTACATTTGAAACAATTATTTTCGCCTTTGAAATTTAAATTTGTACAATCGCAATCGCACTTATTCTATTTTCCAGTAGATGAGGTAAACAGTACATAGCACGACGTTGCAATATGGTGTATATTTTTAATAAGAAATTATTGCGTTTTGCTGTGTTCGTTCATAAATTATGCGTGTGTTTCAAAATGTCAAATGAACAAATGCAATCGCTACCGTTATATTTGTATACGTAATCACGGATGTGGTTGTTGTTGTACTGCGTGAACCCCACAATGTTTACAAACAAAAAAACCGGTGGATATGTTACCGCTACGAAAGTGTAGTAGTAACTAGTTATTCTGCAAATTAATGAGCTTTTTTAATACTGTTGAAGTGACAAAAAATAATTTTATTTCTCGAATCACCTAAGTAATCTGCAAACTGCCTAGACAGTACTGTCTTTATGTATAGGCCCTTGAGAATTTTACTTTTTATAAATTGTATTAATTAAAAAAGCTAAGAATAAACAACATTACCATATATATTTTTTAAAATAAATATATTCTATTGTATAAAGTGTGAATTTTTTCTTCTTCTACAAATAGTGATTGATTATTATGCAAGCACCAATAATTTGAATAGTTTATCACCAAGAAAACTTAAAAAGTCAACCGAAATCTTTTTTTTATCGATCCAATGAAAATTTTAGGTACTTAGGCATTGAAAGATGTTTTAAGAACTGTTTAGTTTAACAAAATAATTCATGCTCTGTTTAGGTTTTTTTTGGAGAGGTACCTATTTTGTGAAAATTTAGAAATTATATTAAAAAATCAACACAAAAATATGGTAAAATAAGAAAATATTTTCAAAAATATTTAAATATTTTTCGAAAATATGTTAAAAGTATTTTGCGAAATTACCGTTTTTCCTAAAATGGAATTTGTGAAAGTACCTCTTAACGGCAGTAAATTTGCCCTGGACACACCCCTGAATTTATACCTTGTGATTTTTTTTTTTGATTTGTTGTGCCTTTATGTTTATTTAATTTAATTATTTTAATTAACTTCCATGATTTTAAAAATTATTTTATTATTTGGGGATTACAACTGGCTATAGCATCTCAATTAAAAAAAAAATTNACCAATAATTTGAATAGTTTATCACCAAGAAAACATTATTATTTTTCTACGTTCCAATGAAATTTTTAGGTACTTAGGCATTGAAAGATGTTTTAAGAACTGTTTAGTTTAACAAAATAATTCATGGTCTGTTTAGTTTTTTTTTGTAGAGGTACCTATTTTGTGAAAATTTAGACATAATTTGTGAAATTATGTTAAAAAATCAACGCAAAAATATGGTAAAATAAGAAAATATTTTCAAAAATATTTAAATATTTTTCGAAAATATGTTAAAAGTATTTTGCGAAATTACCGTTTTTCCTAAAATGGAATTTGTGAAAGTACCTCTTAAGGGCAGTAAATTTGCCCTGGACACACCCCTGAATTTATACCTTGTGATTTTTTTTTTGATTTGTTGTACCTTTATGTTTATTTAATTTAATTATTTTAATTAACTTCCATGAATTTAAAAATTATTTTAGTATTTGGGGATTACAACTGGCTATAGCATCTCAATTAAAAAAAAAATTATGCATAGTTTAAAATAGCTTTATTTGAGTTTTTGGGTAATCAAAACATGTTTAAATTTGTTACAATTATTGCATCATATCTTAAAAATGATTTACTTTATGTATGTGAAGTTTTTTTAAATTCGTTTTTAAACATTATGACATGTTATAGGAGGGGTCTAAAACATTTTTATGCCCGAGTGGGGGGGGGGGGGCTTTGCATGCTATTATGATAACCCTGTCCCCACTCCTCCCCTCTTTTCAAAATATATGCTAAAATTTTCTTGCATATTTTTTTTTAACATTTTTATTAATATGGATTTTAATTTACAAATTTGTTTATCGAACTTTATCTGCAATACCGACATACTGCCGATATTGCAGTTGATATCGATAATACCATTATGATTAGTTCGATCGATAACTATGTAAACACTTTACGTCAACAATGCAACAACAAACCAGCAAAGAAAACAGTGAAATTGATAGTGAGATTAATTACAAGAAATACTTACACTACAAATAGCTTCATAGTTTTCATGATACTACTATGATAACTAAGTGAAGAAAATTAACATTTTCAAAAGTAAATCTTTTGAAATTATTTATAAATAAATTTGACAGGTAGGTTAAATGTTTACTAATAGAAAAAAAAATGATTTAATACTATTTTAATAAAATGTTAGTCACGTCACAAGAAATGTTGAAGTCTCAAATTAAAGATAAACTTGTGAATACTTTTCCTAACGTTCACATTGCATTAAGAATATATTTGTCGATTCTTGGATCAAATGCAGAAAGATCTTTCTCCAGATTAAAATTGATAAAAAATTATTTGCGTTCAACAATGAATCAAGATCGTTTGGCATCGCTCGCACTTATGTCTATTGAATACGACATTTTGCGTAGTTTGGAATTCGACAGCATAATACAAGATTTTGTTGAATCCAAAAATCGCACAAAAGTAATATCATAAGATTCTGCAAAGTAATTTATTACCGAAAAATATTATATTTTTACTTGTATCTTCATAATTTTGTGCAAAATACACTTGTTGTTTTTTAAAGCTAAATTATTTTTTCAACAAATTTTTTTCTCCCAAGTTTTTCGTAGGCCCCTGAATTTCGTAGGCCCTAGGCACGTGCCTAGTGTGCCTATAGGTTAATCCGGCCCTGCCTACTAGGCATAATCAATCGATTTAAAATATTATTACAACTAAGGAAATTGACTGAATGCCAGTTATTTATTTTTCTGCATCTAAAAAATCAAGTCAATATATACAATCAAACAATTAACAAATTTTGTGACAGGATGAGAGAAACTCACTACTCTTGTTTGTAATTTCATTATTTATATCGTTGAAAGAAAATTCTAATTAACACATCTTGTACTTTGTTATTGTATTTCCCCCACCTCATACTGAAAGCAGTTAGCAATGTTCCGCATCTGCGCTAACTCATCTGTAAGTAAGAAAACAATAGTGAAAATATACCTTTATTTTTTAAATCGTTTGCTTTGTTTTTTCTCTTTTTGTTTTTCTATTTTATCATAAGTTTGATATAGTACTTAAAAAACAAAGTTTCTCGATTAGTGTAACCTTATAGTTTTTTATAGTTCATATTTCGAAATGGAAAACACATTTATGATGTAATTTTGACATAGTTATACAAGTTTATTCGATTCATATAGTATAAACCTATGCTTTTTGTAGTTCAACATTACTTAGTAGACTTACAGTGTAATTGTTCAGTAGTTGTGTCGTATATGTTCCTTTTTGTAGCGCTTTTAAAAAGTGCTTGTTTATTTTTGTATTTTTAAAAGCCCTTTAAGGTGCTTTTTTCATTGGGTGTTTTTAAAAAGAGCTTAATTTCCCTTTTCAAAATGAGAGATTTTTTTCTTTAACATGTCGATATTCGCCACGATTTGTGCAAAAAGCGTGGTTTTCACATTGTTCTATTCAACGTTTTCACAATTCATTCAACTACAATTCATTTCGGCGTACCGTCGGTCCATAGCGTATGAAAGCAACAATCATTTTACATGTTTGATGAAATACTTGTAGGTTCGCATGTGCGTATACTGAACTGAATTCGGCGGGAAGGTAAGGATTCTTGCACTCTTACGTGCAACTCTGCTGCATTTTGCAAGAAATTCTCATTTTTCGCCCCCTGAAATCGAACCGAAATTTTGCTGATTACGGGGACCAACTAAACATTGCCAAACATTTATTTTTCCTAATAGCAAAATAAAGTTTTATTTCTCTTGTTAATTTAATCCTTGAAGTGCCATCATCTTTGTCACTAGCAAGCTAATGGCTTCGCTCTCTTCTATTTATAGATTAGTACCATAATCCTTGAACTTGACTTGGGGATCATTCATTAATTACGTATTTACATGTGGGTTCCCATAGCAATAAAGAACCACAACTCTTCATTTCCTCAAAATTTCCATCTCCATTTTTTTCATTTAATTTAATAAAGATGAGAATTAATTAAGATTTTTAAGTAAGAATTTTTATATTACGGACCGTCCATCAATTGTATAAAAATATTTTAAACTTTTATTGTACATAATAAATATTTTCACTTTACTTTTTTTACTGAATATTTTTTATTATTGTATTATTACTTTTAAAATTTTCAGTACTCTTAAGTTGTTTTATGAAAAAATTATAATATTAAAAATAATATTTAGAGGCAAGATTTTTAAAAAAGTATGAAATTGGGGTCTTTCACTATTTTAAATGCAGCAAAAAATTTTATGTTATTCAGATATGTAATTCATCTCGTAATGATTTCATTTAAACAAAAAAAATTTCGTTAATTAAATATTATGAGTGATTTATTAAATATTATGAGTGTAGGGGCCATATAATAATTTACTTATGACAAAAATGTTAGCTTCAATACTCATTAAATTTAAGTTTCAAAATTATTTAAATTAGTTTAATCATTTCATTAAAGAAAAGCTGAACAAAGTAACAATTTTTACTAAAAATTTATTAGGGGCCATTCATTATTTACATTTGTAATATGAAAGTATTTAAGATTTCTTAGTTTGCTGCATTCTTTGCGCATCTTTGTAAATTCTGTATAATCAATAATATTAATCTTGTTAATGTTTTGTTGAATATGCTTTTATAAATGATTTTTATTTAAATCTTAAAATTACACTCGATAACCTTTTTAAATAATAATTAAATTAATTATAATTTTGATTTTTTTACATAGTTAAGTAAAGTAATTATTAATTTAAAAAATAGAATCGAACCAGCAAATAT